ACTCTCACACACGCACATACACACACACACACACACACACACACACACACACACAAACACACACACACACATACACACACACCCTCCATAATGTCCAAGACGATCTCCCATTGTGATCTGATTGTTGAACTAGAGCAAGCTGTACTGTCAACTGTTGGGAATGCAGCCAACTTGTGTTTCCCGCGTCCTCATACGACCGTATGCAGTTGGGAGCGCCGTAAAACTCTTACTAGACTAAAACATAAGACCTCAGAAGTTCACTTTACATAAGGGCCATGCAGTGTGCTTCTATACACCGCCTATCTGCACTTCCTTCAACGTGAGGTTCGCTTTGCATTTCCGTCAGATTTCCTCAGAAATTCTCTTCTTCACGAAGATAGCAAACGCGTCAATATAAGAACAGCCGACTCTCTTGGCGCTGACGGACAGAACTCTTATCAAATTTGTTCTTCCTCCAAAACAAAATGTTTCATAGCTTTCATTTTTCTACGCGCGTGAAGCTGGTTAGTTACACATGGGAAACCTGTTTAGCTGCCAAGTCTTTCACCGATCACGAACTTCCGTATCGTCCGAAATGTTCACCAACATCTTGAGTCTAGTGTAGTGTTGCGTTTAGGCGCTTCGCTGTCGCACGCAGGAGACCTGAGTTCGATTCCCTAGTAGAAGGGGAGGGGGGGGGGAGTTAACTTTATCGAGTACCCCTGTCTGTCTGCTGGGGCGTTGTGTGATCTAACTTGTACCGATGGGGTCGTAAACACCCCTATAAAAAAGAATTAACAACTTCTCGTGTACTTGGTATGCTGTTGAAGTAAATCTTCTCAAATGTATCTTCTGGAGATCTCTTCGTTTTAGTTTTTGCTAAAATTTAACGACATTTGCAACACAATTAGTGCCAAGAATTTGAGGTATAACAAGAGATAAAGAAAGAAAGAAAAGAAGTAGGAGAGATAAGGACGATGTAGATGTTTGACAGGAAAGAAGGATCAAACCACACCACACCACAACCCCACCCCTTAACCACCTCTATAGATCTGTACTTTTAGTAAAAGGACAAGTTTTCCCCAATTCTCTTCTCTTTTCCCGTGTCCTTGAAATCCTCCCTCAGTAATTAGAATCTACGTTTCTGCGACTGTGAATCGTGTCAGTTCGTGAGAACTCTTATCAGTCTGATTCCTGCTCTCCTCGGGGTCTCCGCGACTCGCGACTAGTCATGGTAGGCTGGGATGCTTAGAGTACGACAGAACTTTGCTCACCACGAACGGTATACCCACCCACACGCACCTGCGCATACTTGCATAAAGATTATTATTTACATAATGTACATCTGTATTTCTGCACTCGTGGATATCTTGTTTCTACAAATACCGCCCCCTCGTCTCTCTCTCTCTCTCTCTCTCTCTCTCTCTCTCTCT